TGAATGCTTCAGGCGGGCCTTTGTAGCAAGTAGCACTGGTTTGCAGAGACTTCATGATCCATACTTATTTCGTTTTCTATTTTTTTTATTTTGGGGGCCACTCTCAGCGATCGCAGGGTTTTACTCCTGACTCTGAATTCAGGAATTGCTTCCAAAAACAACTTGGGAAACACATGATATGCTGAAGGTCTAAATCCAGGTCAGCTACTTGCAAGGCATGCACCCACAGTACTATCTCTCTAATCACTGGTACTTATTTCTTATATCTCTCAAATTATTCAGATTGTTTCTGTAATCTCCAGTTTGGCATCAAAAATGAAAAAAAAAATCTTTGAAGTTCCATCTGAAGTCTGAGTGCTTTGTGATGATAGGAAGATAGTGTCTTGAACAACTTTCATGGTTTCCAACCCACCCAAATTGAATGGGTAAAGCAAAAGAGCCCTTCTTCCACTTAACATTCATCTCCATTTCAAATTTCCTACATCCCTGGACAGGAGCAGATATAGGAGGTATGGCACTTGCCTTTCACATGGCCAACCTAGGTTTCATCCCCAGCACCCCAGAGTGATCTCTGAGCCAGTAGTGATCTCTGAGGTCAGAACCAAGAGTAATCTCAGAAACACTGGTCAATGTAGCCCCCAAACCAAAATCCAAAACAAAACAAAGAAACAAATTTTCCAAATCTGGGTTGCTTTGTGTGGTCATTTGACCACTTACTTCTTCAGAATATATAGCACTGTATATATAGCACTATCCTCCCGTTGTTCATGGATTTGCCTGAGCAGGCTCAGTAACGTCTTCATTTTGAGACTTGTTGTTACTGTGTTTGTCATATTGAATACGTCACAGGTAGCTTGCCAGGCTTTGCCATGCAGACAAGATACTTTTGGTAGCTTGCCGGGCTCTCCAAGGGGGGGTGGAGGAATCGAACCAGGCTCGGCAAGGCTGGCTGCATGCAAGGCAAATGCCCTACCGCTATGCTATTCTCAAGTACCTGGTAAAGTCGGGTGATGTGTGTTTTACAGAGCAAGTCATTAGAAGTAATATGTCTTCGATGATATGAATGTCCAGATATAATAGCATAATTATGTTCACTGTCACTGTCCTCCCGTCATTTATTGATTTGCTCCAGCGGGCCCAGTAACGTCTCCATTGGAGACTTTGTTGTTACTGTGTTTGGCATATCGAATACATCATGGGTAGCTTGCCAGGCTCTGCCATGCGGGTGAGATACTCTCGGTAGCTTGCCGGGCTCTCTGAGAGGGGCGGAGGAATCGAACCTGTGTCGGCCATGTTGGCTGCGTGCAAGGCAAACGCCCTACCGCTGTGCTATCACTCTAGCCCAGCATAACTATGTTAAGACATTTTAATACTATCAGATACTGTTAATGATAATAATAAAGCTGAAGTGAATTTGTGTAGATAATTCTTATTTTATCATCTTAGTCTAGTTTTCATTATGATTATCCAATGCACATTAATATAAACAAGACTTCCCAGTTTTCTAATCTGTAGCCATGTATCAGGTGTTTATTTCTCCTATTTTTTCAGGGTGAAGGAAATACTATTGAATGCATCATTCTGCTTTAAATACTATAAATGTAAGTTATTGATTTATTTAAGCCTTCCAAAATTCATTCTAGAATAGAGATCATAACTGTTATATCCCAAAGAAAACTAGAATACATTTAGTAATGTTTCTTTTATTTTTTCAAATTGGTTTATTTTTGGTTTCTGGGCCACTAGGCTATACCCAGGTGTTGCTATGTCATGAAGATCATTCATGGAAGGCTCAGGGACCCATATGGAACACCAGGATCAAACCCTGGTGGGCTTTATGCAAGTTAAGCACCCCTTCTACTATTGCTCCAACTGTTTATACTTTTCAGAAAATATACTTATCATGAGACTTGTTGATAGTAGTTGGTGATTTCTATAAGCTAGAGATGTGGGGAAATCTAAAATCAAGAGGAGGGAACTTCCTTGGAGTTTTGTATCAGGAAGATTTTATCAGTCCCCAAATTTTAAAGTTATAATAGTGCACTGAGTCCCACTCAAATCCAAGTGAAAGTGATACTTAGTTCATAGAATTTACCTTCTTACTTCAGTAGTTGCAATATAGTAAGTGGTAGATAAATACTTAAGGGTTAATGTTTATTGAATAAGGAGGAACACGGCTGTCCTACCACCATCACCACCACTAGAAAGTCAAATTGAAAATGAAATTAAATTGATTTCATCTCAAAACCTAATGAAAAATAAGAATTTAACACCCTTTTTAAAAGCAAATGCCAGAATTGATACTGAAGATTTCACAATTTATCATCTTTTTAAAAATGTGGATCCAAGGGTGCAAAAAAGCACAGTAGAAATGACATCTGTACCTGTATGTTCATTGCAGCACACTTCACAATAGACCGAATCTGGAAACAACCCTAGTGCCTGAGAACAGATGACTGGTTAAAGAAACTTTGGTGCATCTAAAAAACGAATACTCCAAAGTTTCTTTAACCAGTCATCTGAAAAAAGGAATACTCTAACTGAAACCCAAGCACAAAATTTTTTTAAGTCTACAACTGTACCTCATGGTGTTTCACTAATAAAAATTAAAAAAAAATTCACAAACAAAAAATAAATAAATAAAAAGAACTACAAAATTGTAAAAAAAAAAAAAAAGGAATACTCTGCTGCTCTTAGGATAGAAGTCATGAAATGTGGCATCTTGCTTGTAAGTGGATGGTCATGGAGAGTATCATGCTGAGTAAAATGAGTCATGAAGAGAGGGACAGACATAGAATGACTACACTCATTTGTGGAATATAAAATAAAATAATGTGATACTAACACCCAAGGACAGTAGAGATAAGGGCCAGGAATATCGCTCCATTGTTGAAAGCCTGCCTCATGAGCTGGGGAAAAAAGCAGCTGGAATAGAGAAGGGACCACTAAGTCAATGGTGTTTGAAGGGATCTTTTGGGATGGGAGATATATGCTGAAAGTAGACAAAGGACCAAATGTGATATCCTCTCATTATCTATATTGCAAACCATAATGACCAAAAGTAGAGAGAAAGTAGGGGGTAAATTTTCTACCAGAGAGGCAGGAGGAGGGTGGGATGGGGGCGGGTGGGTACTGAGGATATTGGTGGTGGAAAATGAACCCTCATGGAGGATGGGTGTTTGATTATTGTATGACTAAAACTCAAACATGAAGGCTTTGTAACTATCTCACATAGATTCAATTAAAAAAATGTGGGATCATATCGGGCTGTGTTCAGGCCTTGTTCCTGGCTCTGTGTTAAGGGATCACAATGCAGTGCTCAGAGTGACCTTGCACGGCACCTGGTGTCAATCCCTGTCAGTTATATGTACAGTAAGCATAGTAATCGCTTTACTGCACTTTCTCTCTCCAGCCCCAAGTCCACAATTTTGTGGGCTACTTTATTCATTTCTGTTTATGCACTAATTCAGCATTTTATTATAAATACTAAAGTAGTATTTAATTATAGAGACAAATTCTAAAAATATAACTTGTGAGTGACCTACAAGTAGAACATTTGTTTCTACTTAATTCAACTGGTTTGGTCATTATATATCATTTTATTTCTTACTTTTGAATAAAGGTACTCATGTTCATTTGCTAAAAGTGTACTCAAGAAATGTAATTAAAAGCTGAAGAGCAATCAAATACTTTGTATTGGAAATCTGGATATGTTTGCTTTCTGTGGAGTCCAAATTAGTGACATTTGCAGATTATATATTACATAGATAAGGGTTTCCATAAAATCACAATGTGTTTGAAGTAGTAAACACTAATAACTTGATGCTCCTTCAAATGATTGTTTTCAAGTTCCTCTCACTATTGCTGCTGTATCTCAAAATGAATGAATCACTCAGATAGCCAATTTTGTTAAGAAATGAGTTCCATTGAGTATTTTAGATACATTTTAAGCAAGTTTTTGTAACTTTCCCATTCCATGTTTCCAATCCATTTAGCTTGAGTATTTTGTCATTTAGAGTAATAACTCATCAATCTGTTAGTGCAAGCTTTCTTTATGTTACTTTTCTTAGTGTTATGAAATGTGCTATTTTGAATCTCTGAAATGTTACAAACTGCCAGATTGCTAATTGCTTTGAATGCTGTGAAAAATAATTACTCTACATTATTTTTGATATTAAATTGACAGTGTAATGCATTTAACTAAAGACCTGCAATAAACTATTTCTAATTACTGAGGGCGGTGGAGTGGAAAAGTAGGCTGTAAAACTTTACAAGGGAAACAGTGTTTTCTTCATTACATTAAAAGTCATTGTTGATATAAAATTTCAGAGGCAAAACAATATCCAAATGGGAAATTCTGGTAAGCCAGAAATAGTTGTGGATTGTCTTTATTTATGATCTAGGATGAAGATTTTTTAAAACAGTGTCTTTGAATTGATTTTACTGGTGATAGATGTCACATACCAAATTTACTATGATTGAACTAAATTTTTTCCTTCTCTAGATGGTGGAACTTTATGAAGGAAATAATTATACCACTGACAAAATGAGTAATCTTTACTACTGGACTGTGTACAATTTATTCTACAAGTGTGGCAATTGCCACTGTAAAATTATGCCAATTTTTGTTGACATTGAAATATATGAATATTGATATGCATATTTACATGACTTTTTTCTTAGTTCCTAAGAACTTCTTATTATATACAGAACCCTGAAAATAACTAAGCTAAATGATAGTAATTCTGATAGCTTAGAACTATCACAAATCAAATTATGAAAGATATTAGTTCCTTTATATAGATGTTTACTGCTTTTCTTGTCCTGTGTTTCTGAGGCATTTTTAATGAATAGTAATATTCTTCTTATAAGTCCTAATTAAAATGAAATGCCTCCATTAGTGGTTCATTAAATTGTTTATTCAATTTAAATATGTACATTTTCCAAAAACAGACAACCATAATAAGTGACCTGTTTCAGGGAATGTAAATTATTTTCAGAATTTCAGAAATTGAAAAGGGATAAGAGGAAGGAGAAAATGCTGGGCTGGTGTGAAGCGATAGCCCGTAACCCTCACAGAATCCCAAACAACACGCGAACACCCGAGGTCTCAGGGGATTTGACTGATGTCTCACAAACCTCCACACTGGTGAGTGGAAAGTTATTTTACCCAAAAATGGTTTGTATGTACGTAAAATGCTAAGAGAGTTGAGAGGGATAAGTAAACATTCTTGTTTCCATTCTTGTTTCTATTAGTGTTTGCATATGCATTATAGTTATACGGATATATAGTTCATGTGGATTCAGTTAGATTAAAAGAACATTAAACTACCCTGAAATTATGCATACAAAGCCAGTTACCAAAATTAGCTTAGTTAATGAATTTAATTTAGTAAACTGTCGTATGTAGGATTTTAATTTGGTCTGAACAATTCATTTTTCAACAATGTTGAACCCTTTCTTTTCCATTCTAATAGTAACTTCAAAGAGATATTTAAAGTTCACGTTCTTGATAGTTTCTTAAGTTTGGATATGTCAAATATATTTTAACTGTTTTTTTTATTGTTTTGTAGCAACAAAAGTGTTTTATTAGCCTTATTTATTAGTTGAATTATATATTAATTATGAACAAAGATTTCAGAGTATGTTTACTTTTGAATCATTTGAGAGTATCTCTATTTTTTACATACCAATGATGTTCTGAGGAATTTTTTTGAGTGAATGTAAAGAGAAGCTTTTTACAGAAAGAAATGTAGACATCTTTCTCTAATTTTGACTCGGAGTGATAAGACTAATGGTATAGAAAATTGTGTGCCACACTATTGAACAATCAAATTTCTAGGAACTAGGTTTTTTTGAAATTATCACGTGCTATTTATCTCAACTAACATGAACTTTCATGATTATTTTCAATAAAACTTTGCCATGGGCTAGTATCACTTACACAAATATGTTTTGCAATATGTATAAATAGAGCTGGACACTAGAGTCATGAGTACCTAAAATTTCTAAGAAAAATAAAATCCTTAGTGCTTTTATTCCAATGGTTTTTGTACATAATCCTTTTTAATAAAGACATATATCAGAAATACGAATACTCTTGAGCAAATATATGGTCTTTTCTCCTATAATTAGGTAATCTAACATTTGTCTTCTTGATGTGTACTGTGGCCCAGATAAACTAATTGGCATTCCCAGTGCCACTTAGATAGTAGATCACAAAAATATTATTAGAACCTAGGGATCTCAAGTCACGACTATTTCTATTTTACTAGTGCCTTATTTCCTTGACAGTGTTTTCTTCCCATTTTATTACTTTTGGGGAAAAAAGAAAAAATAACAGTATCTGAAAAAGTTACCAATATCTGTAATTTATCCCTTAATGAATGGAATTGCCTGTAGCAATATCCTTAAGTCTCAGTTTTTCCTTTAAAATTTTTTTCTGATTTTTGAGTCACACCTAACAGTGCTCAGGGCTTGCTCCTGACTTGTGCTCAGAAACCAACTCTGTCAGTGCTTCAAGGACCATATGGGACCCTTGGGGGATGCTGTGGGGTACGAGGGATTGAGTCTGGGTTAGTAGCGACTTTCAAGGCAAGTTTCCAGCTCTCTCTACTATCTCTTTGATCCCAGCTCTCAGATGTTTTAATGGGGAAAAATGAATCATTTCTTTTCCAAGTCATGTCCTGTTTGTGTTGGTTATCTTTCTTTGGAGGTTCCTTGCTAAATAAGGATTCAAAGTTACAATTTCCTTCCATCCTTTGATGCTTCTTTTTGGAGCAGATACGCTCTTAATTCATTGAAGAAAAGGAATAGATGGTGTGCATTATTGAAATCTGAGTGTTCTGAAGTAGCCTTGAATGCAGTAAATCCTTTCACTGGCCAAAACTAGTTTTAAGACCCTGTCCATCTGTAAGGGAGAATAACTAATATTACCTTCCTATGAGGTCAGGAAAAATAACATGGATTTGGTGAGTTTCTGTCCCATCTCTTTCACAATCCAACTCTCCTCTTAACAAATATTTGCATTATGAAAAGGTTTTATTACATTTTATATGGAATAATTTAACACTTTGTCACTGAATTCAACTCAACTTCTTGAACTCTGATTATGCATTGTTATCACCAAATGATGAAGATAATAAATCATTTATAAGCAAATTATATTTTGCATCCAGCCTCAGTATGCCTAAACACCCAACAAATAAGAGGAGAATGGCATGAAAACCACAATACACAAGCTTGGAAGAATTCATACAATGGCAATCAGAGACAAACTTTGACTGAAAAGTATAATAAAGCCTCCCTTTATTATTAGTTATAGAAGTTTGGGAAGATTCCTATATAAGTCCAGACACTGCTCTCCCATATCCATGGTTTTTGCAGGACTCTAGATAAACCCGCTATGAATTCTTCCTTTTCTATTACTAACCTCATATACACTGTTGTGTCCATGAAAGTCTCAATAGTCAGAATTATTTTTCCTGCTTGAGTAAAATTAGAGGACCAATGATTGCTTTTCAGGCTTCTGTTTCTCTGATCATAGTATTTATTTTTTTCACTTTTTTATTTAATTTTATTTTGGACATTTTAAACTCATTTTTATACCAACATAAAAATAATCAGTATATTTAAGTATTACAATTCTCTTAAGCAGCGATAGGGTTCCAATCTGTTTCCTTGCTAGCAATCCATGTGCTTAAAAAATTCTTTGCTGGGATATCCATATCCTCTCAGTATCTCTAAATTGATGTTGTTGTCTACTGACACTTTATTTAATGAAAAAGTTTTCCTGGGTGTCATCTCTAAATCTCATATTTGCCTTGCCTTATTTTACTCCAGTGAAAAAATTTTAGATCTTTGTTACTCAGGGTCTTGCTACAATGGCATTTGGGGTTTAAAAAGAAACTCCTTGCGGCTGGAGTGATAGCACAGCGGGTAGGGCATTTGCCTTGCACGCGGGTCGACCCAGGTTTGAATCCCAGCATCCCATATTGTCCCATGAACACCGCCAGGAGTAATTTCTGAGTGCAGAGCCAAGAGTAACCCCTGAGCATCACCAGGAGTGACCCAAAAAGAAAAAATAAAGAAAGAAAGAAAAAAGAAAAAAAAATTCCAGATTTCTAACAGCCCACTTATCCCTGTCACCTTCTAGATTACTCTATTGCTATTTGCGTCTGTCTTGATATTAGGCAATTAGTTCCTTAGTTCATGTTTCTCTTGTAACACATTATCGAATATAGAGAATAGCCAGCTTGCTTTATTAAGTTTTTTTCTTAATCTATTTTGAGCGTTCTCATCTTAGTTTCTGTATCATATATGTTGCACCTTTTTTTCAAACAGTTTTGCCAAACATTATGCCAAAATGTGGCTTTCTGTCTTTGATAACAGTTTTCTTACTACCTATTGTCTGATCATTAAACAAATGAAATATTTTTGAATTTTGTTCTAGTGACACATGCTGTGACTACCATTTTCTGTATTTGCATAACTCTAAAAGCTGAGATCTGTCAGGCAAACACAACTCAGGCAAGTTGTTCTGACATACACTGTAGAGTGAAGAATTATATAATCTGCATAGAAAACTGAAAAGTCAGAAAGCTACTACATTTAATAAAATATCATAATCACCCACAAAAAGGAGTAACTTATGAAGGAGGATATAGTTATGTTAATTGAAAAGACTGAAGGGATATTGCACATCAAAACCACACCACATGCATCTCTATTTTTCTCTTTACCTAAAGTACAGTGAAGATCTGGAGGTTAGAGGTGTAATTTAAGGATCTAGGGAATTACACCTGAAATGGAGTGGGGGCTTTCAATCATTATTTATTCACTGTCACTGTCACTGTCCTCCCGTTGTTCATCGATTTGCTCCAGCAGGCCCAGTAACGTCTCCATTGTGACACTTGTTACTGTGTTTGGCATATCAAATATGTCACGGGGAGCTTGCCAGGCTTTCTTTGCCATGCAGGCTAGATACTCTCGGTAGCTTGGTTACTTACTTGCTTACTCTCTGAAAAGGGCGAAGAATTCTAACCTGGCTCAGCCGCCGCCCGGCTGCGAGCAAGGCAAATGCCCTACACCTGTGCTATCGCTCCAGCCCATTATATAATAAATATATAAATATATATTGCTTTTGTGTTTTAATCAAGCATGAGTTTTATTATTAAGTTGATATGAAAAAAAGGAGTCTTAAGGATTAGAAATAAGGTGAAAGAGTTTACAAGAAATGGGGTTGAAAAAAATCTAAGGTGTTAAAAATAGTTAATGTGATTAGCATTGGCAAAAAATATATTTTTATTATCAATATTATTTTTGAGGCAACAAACTATAGTCATAGAAGAGTATATTTTTATCCTTTATATCAATATGAGATAATTTGCCACTACTAATATGCATTGCTCAGATCCAGGCATATTTTCTATTTAGGTACTTGATCTGGGATAAGGAGTTTACTACATCTGAGAATCTGAAATGAGAGACTATGAAAGAACTATTTCAGGAAGAAATGAATAATGCCTATCTGTAAAATAAAAATGAATGATTATTTTTAAAACTTTAAAATATTGGGGCTGGAGCACAGCGGATAGGGCGTTTGCTTTGCACGTGGCCAACCTGGGTTCAATTCCCAGCATCCCATTGGTCCCCCGAGGACCACCAAGACTAATTCCTGACTTCAGAGCCAGGAGTAACCCCTGTGCATTGCCAGGTGTGCCCCCAAAAAAAAACTTTAAAATATCTTTAAAACTTTAATATTTTCAAAAATACTTATTATTTCATTACAGCTAACAGTCTTGCTGAAATATAAAGGTATAATTTAATAAGTAATGAAATACAGGTAAAGGTAAAAGGTAAAGGCCCTCCCGTTGATCGTCGATTTGCTCGAGCGGGCCCAGTAACGTCTCCATTGGAGACTTTGTTGTTACTGTGTTTGGCATATCGAATACTCTCGGTAGCGGGCTCTCCGAGAGGAGCGGAGGAATCGAACTCGGGTCGGCCATGTTGGCCGCTTGTAAGGCGAACGCCCTACCCGCTGTGCTATCGCTCCAGCTCAATGAAATACATTGTTAAGATATTTAATCTTTGTAATTCATAAGGAGCCAAATATACTGATTTTTAGGTTATTTTTATTTACAATATCTA